ATACAGTGGGGTCTTGACTTAAGAACGGCTTGAGTTAAGAACATTTTGACTTAAGAACCACTCTCATAGGAAAATATTGACTTGACTTACATACTTAGATTTGAGTTAAGAACTGAAAAAAAACCACGTGGGAGGCAGGGAAAGTGCAAAATTTGAACTTTCAGTTAACTGTTGGCCAGTGAAAAGGGTGCCTGTCTGCTTCCTCACTCCTCCCAGCGTTTAGAGAGTGGATTGGGAGACAGTCTTCGGACTGCCTGGTACTGCCTGGACTGTCTTTTCCCTGCCTTCCCTGAACCTTTCTTGACCTAAGAAAAAAAACAAAATATCCCCCTCTAGTGGTCGAAGGCAGAATAGCAGCTTCCCATTAGTTTCTATGGATGGAAAAGAGCAGATACGGATCAAATGGTTTTCAATGCATTCCTATGGGAAATGCAGATTTGACCTGAGAACTTTTTGACTTGAGAACCGCCTTCCAATACGGATTAAGTTCTCAAGTCAAGACCCCACTGTACAGAGGAAGGGGCAGAGTAGAAGCCCTTAGCATTCGCTTCATCTCACTATCTACTCAAAAGTACTGCCTTAGAGCACTGAAACACTATGAGCATTATTTCATAGTGAATGAGGAATCTCATTCTATGCTTTTCAATCCATTTGTTAAGTGTAAAATGTAAGCACTAATATTGAATGCTCTGGGGCTCATATTCCAAGCTAATACTTGATAACAGAATTCCAATGCCAATTACTTTAATGTAGAAAAAGAATATTAATCCCTTCACAAGTAACTGTGCTTTTCCCAACAAACATTTATGCCACTATTAACTTGTAAATAAAACCAAGCGGTAAATGTTCAGCCTCAGTTACTTCCGTGTGCTTAACCCTGCCAAATTCTGCACACTACTGCATCCCAACTCTATAGCTAAAAAGCTAAGAACATTAATCATGTCTTAAAATATAACACAGAAAACAGCTTCAGGACAGGATTATCTGAAAGACCACCGGCTCCTGTATGAATCTGAGTTTAGGCAGGCAAACTACTAGGGAAAGAATATTTTACAATTGGAGCTTCACAGCACAAAGAAGGCCCTTTCATCTATCACTACTTACATCGCCAAACAGTATGAAGCAGGGGAACAGGGGTGTTGCTTTTGGGCACCAAAATTTACAGGGAATCAAAATATAGTGGTGAATCCACTGGTGTATGTTACAAAAATAAACACTTCCTAGCCCTAAATAAACACTTCACTTTTTAAATATATATATAAACTTTTGAGGAAGCACTATATTTTCCACCTCCTTGGCTCAGGCACCAAAATTACTAGCTACAGCTCTGATAAAGGGAGTCAAAGAGGCATATAAAACATGGTTCTTACAACACCAGAAGGTACACACAAAGGAATATAGTCCTTCAGGTATCCAGAGATCCTAAGCCATTTCAGGATTGCAAAACTAGGAATTAGCACTTTGAACATGCCAATAGTTTATTGTGATTATTTCAAGATCCGTGTGCTGCATCATGAATCTGTTACCCTGTTCTGTGTTTTGCATGCTAAAATTCAGAAAGTGAATTACAGAACACTTTACCAATAGCTCTATAATTCAGACACCCATACACAGATACTTGTTTGTGTAAATATTCTTAGTATTAATGGCATCTTGTATTTCACATGTCTATGAAACGAATTGTAGAGCAAAATACTTGAAAATGCTTGTATCATACAATCACTATTCCTTCTCTCAAAAATTGTTCTTTCATTCTCACATACCCACACATTTCACTTATGCGTATGGAAATTTGTTTCACTTCATCTCTTGGCATTGGCATTATAGCTGCAGAACAATTACACATACTTGGATTTATTTATAGCCCTTTTCAGTTTCTTCTCCAAGTGTTTCATTCTGCCCATGGCGGCATTGTATTTGGCCGCCGTCTCCTTGTGCACCAACTCACTTCTGGTTTTTGTCTGTTCTGCCTCCATGACCTTTAAAGAAGAAGAAATAGAACTGGTTTTCAGCTGAAGATGCAGGTCTGTTATACACTTAGCTTGGGTTTCTTTTTAGCACTATTTAGCACTATGTCACAACCCTGAAGACTGGTACTATAGCAATGAATGAACAAACGAATGAATGAAATGGAAAAAGGTGACAAGTCATTCACCAAAGTTGAAGTACTTCACTAAAAACCTGGGCCTTTTTAAGAAAAATGTAGTGTTAGATATGTGCTTTTGTCAACCTGGCTAAAATTCCTATTGTGACACATGCAAAGCAACGATCACTGACTTCCATGTACATAAACTCAAGTCATAAAGAAACAATAACTGGAACAGTATGGAGCCTACAAAGAAAAGAGTCAGTTCCTGACTTAATCCTAAATGATGCCCAGGATCTAACTGAGGGATTAGTAATGAAAGCTTGAAAAACAGTGAGCTAGCTGGATAGCTCAGAGGTTTAGGTATCTGGCTCAGTAGCCAGAGGCTGGGATTTCAATTCCCCACTGACCCCTCTGCGAGTAAAGCCAGCCTCTTTGGCCTTGGGCAAGCTGTACAGTCCTAGGGTGCCCCCAAAAGAAGGGAATGGTAAACCACTTCTGAGCATTCCTGAACTGGAAAACTCTGAAAAAGGGTCACCATTAATGTGCTTGACGGCACATTGTTATTGTTGTTGTTGTTCAAAAACTCCAGGCACAGTCAAATTATAAAAACATGGGCTGGTATTATATAACAGATACAAGTTTTAACAAAAAACCCTAAGTATTTGTTAAATATCGACACATTATGCGTGCTGTTCCTAATACTGCTTATTGTTGTTGTTATTGAAAACAGTAACCATAACACAGCAACACTGTCAAATTTAATACAAAGTAAGGGGAAATTACCCTGAGTTTCAATGTAACATCAAAGGCTAATATTTCTCCAAAACAAGGCAGTTAAGGAAACCATGTTGCACTTATTGATCTATATATACAGCCTTGAAGAGCTTGAACCCAAAGAGTTCCTTAACTCTATTTTAAGATGCTCAGGTTAGCTCCTTTTCATGTGCCATCTTGAGACTGAAAAAGTGCTCAAACAGACTTTATGATTGTTTCACCATTACATAATACCTACAGCTGGGAATGGTTGAATATTAATTTGTTGCCTGTAATTCAGAGTAACATTTAGGAATGGTTTTAAAAGTCATTTTAACAAATTGTTTTATATCGATAATGTGAACTTTTAAAACAATGATTTATATTTCATGTTTAATTCATTTGTTTCAAGGGGAAAGTTTGGGCTGGTTGGCCATTATTTGCTTTTCATCTAAACAATATTTCAATAATATGTTACTAATAATTAATACAACAGTCATCTTTCCAAGCTCTGAGTAATCCTTTCTGATGGAGTACTGCCAAGGTCAGAGCCTGGACATCTTTCAGAAGTCGTGTTTGTTGCTATTTGGCAGCTTGTTTGTGTGTTGATATTGCACATGTTACGTAGTCTGCATCTACACACTCCTGTTTCAGGGTATGGGACTGGGTTTTATGGTCTTTCCTCCTTATCCACCATCCTGCAGCTCTGTTTTTACTTGTGAGTTTCAAAGGTCAATGGCATGTATAAAAGAGTCATCTTGGATCAACACAAAATCAAAAGGTTTCATATCACCAGGACTGAGGGGAAACCACACCAACCAGAAGCAATACTCGTCTTGAGCTGGCAGTCATTCTGAATCATACTCATTTTGACAAGATTCAGATATTGCAATAGCAATTGGGAAAGCAACGTTGAAAATAATTTGTGCTGCTTTTTTTGGTACTCATACGAAGCAGCTGTTACTGAAATGCAACCTATAGCAGTGTTCTTCAAGGTTATGAGCTTCATCTCCTTGCCCAAAGCATCTAAAAATGTCCAGCTTTCTGCCAGAAGAAATGGACAGAAAAGTCAGCTTCTCTCTCTTATATGAGCCAACAACAGATCGTACCCTTTGGGTGGCATGATTGAGCATCTCTTGCCAAGCAGAATCAAACTGACGCTTGTCATCTTCCAGCAGCCTCTGCTCTGCAAGGGAAATAGTCTCCTTAGCAGCCCGTAGTACTTCAGTGGCTCTCTGAAAATCCTGGGTTGCCTTTTGAGCTTCCAGCTGGGCCTAAAGTGAGAGAGACAGCAAATGGATTGTAATACAGTAATAGAAAAGGGGTCATATAAAATGGATCGTTTCCAGTTTTAATGTTAGCCTAATGATTCTTTGTTTCACCCTAATTTTGGCTTATCTATCTCTAGACTGCATCCTTATAAGTTACCAATTAACAATGTTAATTTGTCTAGATTTAATCATGACCACGTGCAAATTACAAGTAGTAAGTTTTTTCAATCACCATTTGTCAGTGTCCAAAGTGATGTACACTTCTCTCGTTCAGCCTACTAAATGGTCAAATAAGGAGAGGCATATTAATATTTGCAGCCATGATATAATCAGCCCTAAGAAGCACACAAGTAGTAGGAAAAGAGGACTACCAAACATGAGATGGATTGAGTTAATAAAAGAAGCCACAGACTGCAAGACCTAAGAAGGCTGTTAATGATCTGACCTTTGGGAGGTCATTTCACAGGGTCACCATAACTAGGAAGCGACTTGGCTGCACATAAGATGCCCATGGTTTCAAAAAGAGGAGAGGAGAGTCACTTCTAAAAAATGAAAGACAAGCTTCTAAAAAATGAAAGACAAATCATTTCCACTTAGATTTGACTACATGCTATAAAATGTTCTAGTGAATTCTTTCCCAAATCTGGTGGGCTCCAAATGTCAGGAGGACTAAATCTCTCATCATCCCTGAGCCTCGGTCTGCAGTTTGGGAATGTTGGGTGTTGTGGCCCAAATGTGCAGATGGTACCAAATAGGAAAAGACTGTTCTGATGAAACTAATTTATCCAGTCTGAAGTTTTCTACAATCTACTATTTATGTTGAAGTTCCTTTAAAAAAGTTAGGAACACAGAAATTTAAGCTATGCAAATGTTCCATCTGGCCTTTCCCATGCAAATGCTTCTGTTGCCAAAGAATATATAAAATTCTAGAAATTATATCTTTCCTTTTTCCACTGCCAAGACTGTGCCAAACTAACACACAGGTTTTTTCAGCAATGTTGTCCAAAGATTTCATCAAATCTGTCAAGTTAACTTTCTGCTGCATTTGCATGACTTTTGCCTCTTTACACTCAGTTCATCAGAGCTGGCAAAAGCTTTCAGCATTAGAAACCATTTGGAAGAGTCACATATTAGCTGATAAAATGCCGCAGCAGTCCCCAGTGTACATTCATTGCTAAGGAGTTCTGACAAGAGCAAGCCAGCTTGCAAAGGCTTAATGCTGCAAGCATCACTGTTTGTAAGCTTCTCTGCCAACTGCTTTCTTGTGATGAATAGATTTATGTTGTGATGAATAAATGCCTTTGGCTAGATATCATATTTAAATGGCCCTCAGCCCAGCCTTGAATTATAATTACACTACAGTATTGTATAATCTTTAAACAAGCATTGATGATGATACTTACGAGCTTACATGTTTAACATAGGGGCTGGGCTGAGGGTAGGGAAAATGCTCAAAAACACAGTCTAGCCATTTGATTTACTTCTAGGCCAGTTTCGAAGGGTGGGTGGAGACGAAAAATACAATGGGCGAGACTGGTTCTCCCCCTGCCAGTGATACAGGATTTTAAGCTCTAGATTGCAAAACATTCTATTACATATCAGGTATTTATCCTGATCTAACTCAAGGAAGGCCAACATATGACCACCAGGGTGTTTTTGGACTGCAATGCCCCTTCAGCATGGCCAGTGATAAGGGATGATGGAAACAGTATTCCAACATAATCTGGAAGGCAAACACACACTCACTACCATGTCCAGCTAAAGATATTGGGGGAAAAAATTCTTTCCCCAAGATGGAGCAGATTCAAACTAAAGATGGAACTCATGAACGAGATTAAGGTTTGAAAAACAACAAAGTAATGATCTACTACTTATCTATCAGAAGTATATGATGGTACATATCAAAAAGTCTTTGCTCCTATTTTTATTCTCCAAAATATGAACAGTATATTAAAATAGTGAAGAATATATCTTACAGTTGCCTAGTAACCCAAATAATAAAAAATAAAGGTAAAAATTGTTTAATATATACTTATATATCAAACAGGAGTGGAACAGAATGATGATCCAGATGTTGGACTCCATTTCCCATTAACCTTCACCCTTAGCTATCCTAGCTCCATTGAGAATTACACAAAAGCTACATCAAGAGCCATAGTGACCCATGCGCAGCTAAGCATCATCAAGTCCTATAACAATAAATAAAAGCAAAGAAACAATCTTACTGGTGTCCCCATGCTGCATAACATACGTATGCACAGCTAAGCTGCATCATCAAGTCCTATAACAATACATAAAAGCAAAGAAACAATCTTACTGGTGTTCACACATTTTCCTAGCTTGCTGCAAAAAACTGCATCTAATTAAAAAGGTGCCATGGTACGTTCACAGTTCCATAATCATGCAAATAACTAGGCAACTGAGATGCCTCTGGCACTCCATTAGTTAACTGCAATTAGCCAGGGCATGCTAATCAAATATTATGTGAACATCAATAGGATTCCAGTCAAAGACAGCCATTTATATGTGGAGTTTGAGTTTCCTTTACGTGTCTCTGCATTTGTATGCTTCAAAGCAATTCTATATCAGATATTCATTTTATTGAATGATATTTTCCTTCCATATTATTTTGAACATTAATTCGCACATTGTATCTAACCCATCTATATAATTCCTGTCTTTCTACCTCCTTGAATGATATTTTCCTTCCATATTTTGAACATTATTTCGCACATTGTATCTAGTCCATCTATATAATTCCTGTCTTTCTACCTCAATTACACAGCCTCTTCCTCTATACTGCATTAATTAGCAAATATCAAGGTGTTGGCTAGTAAATTTACACTTACCCCAAATGAATTGTGCTAAGTCTTACAGTAAAATCTGTCACCCATTCCAATCAGTCTTAAAAATCCTGTGTGGTATATGCAATTAAACCGATTATAAACACTCCACATTCTCTTTTCACTCCTAAATTAGAATTACACAGCAAGCTACCATAGTAACATTTGTGAAGAATTGTAATGATACACAAGCTTCCTTTGTGTTGAATTGCCATTAATAATATATTATCACAGTCACTCAGGAAGCATCAGCTACAATGCTTTTTTGTAATTACCAGCTTTATTGAATGAAATATCATTCCTGCTCATATGTCAGCACATCATTAAACTGATCATATGAATCTGTGTTTGTGTCCTGAGAGACAAACGTTATGACCATCTTATTTGAAACAGCAGAACTATCCTACAATTTAAGCAAATTCTACATGTCCAAATCAGTCTTCGTGTAACTCTGTTTCAGCTTTAACTCCAGCACGTGAGGAAGGTCAATGTGCTGGCCCCTAACACCCTGACACCCATTCTGTCACCCTCTACACCTAGAAACCCATACTCTAAAAAGAACCTCTGCTGTCTGCTTTATTTAGTACCAAGATTTTCCTAACTTTGAAAACCAAGGGAAAGCCTCCATAGATAGCAGAGATTCTTCTCTTCAGACTATTGCCCTTCAACATGTAGAGGTAACAGGAGAAGCATGCTTCCCCTCCTTGCATGTTGGGTAAGCACTTGGAGGAAAAGGCTGAGGAGGGCTGGAGATGTAGATTAATGGAGGACAAGGCCAAGCAGACCTCATAGGACATGGCTGGGCTGCCCACTAATATTCACATTTTGGTTATGGCGACACAGATGTGAATGAAGGGATCTCTTCCCACAAGAAAAGAAATTGTGAGGCCAGCTTTAGTGCTTCCGGCTTAGAGTGTTAAATGGCTTCATTAATTAAAAACAACAGCAATCAGTATCTCTTGTTCATTTTAAGTGATTGTTTGGCAAATTATGGGTATTAGCCAGAAAATAATTAACAGCCCCTGGCAAAAGTGACAGAGGAAAACACATGTAGGATTTCTCAAGGCCATGTGCTCACTTAGGTTGTCAAGCCTGTTGCTATGAAAGCAGAGTCTTTTCAAACAGATAACAACTTTTGTTAGAATATGAATCTTTTCTCACCACTTACTAGTGTATCTGGTTTTCCTCCATTTGTCATCTCCTCTGTTGAGTTGGAGCTGGTTTTGGTAATTTTGAGTAAACCCAATTAAATCAATGGGACTATCATTAGTCATGATTACTTATAAGCCATTCAATTTAATTAGTCTGCTCTAAGCATGCTAAGTCCAGATCCAACTGTCTATGCATGGTAGAATGTATTTGTAGAAACATACTGTATAATTTATGCTGTTTGCTAAATAATTTTATAATTACACCAGTTTGCTGTTTACCTAATAATACTTAGTAACCATGAGGAAATTCTTTTCATTTCAACAATCATGACTAATGTGTTGCTTCACTTGTACATTTCTCTGAGTAATAGAGACACCAATCCTATATACTCTGGAAGACCACACCCAGCAGTATTTTAGGGACTACCCGTAACTATTATATTTCTGTAGTCAGCAGTATGGCATGTTAGACTCCGGACTTATCACTTCTTTTACTTCAAAATGATATATTTTGTTCCATCCTATAGAATGGAACCCTGACTTCTACACAAAGTCCTGCTGAGATGACAGTGGCTACTTACACATCACAGAAAAGAACAGCATACAGCACCAAAAAGGAAGAGATAAGAAAGTACTGATTTGCATAAAACCGAATATGCCAATGTTTATGTATAGATACAAAACCAGAATTTAAAAAGCATTGCAACTCTGCACTTGAGAGAGGGGAAAGTGACCAAATCATTTGTGCTTACTTAGTCTACTATAAGAATAGTAGAGGATATACAGCTTCAATGTTCCTGATCTCCCTCTTCATTATTCTTTAAATGAGATTTGAATGACAGAGCATATTTAAATGGAGAAATATCTTCTGTAAGACCTCCAAATTAAGGACTGCCCTTCTTAGAAAAGCACAAGGGCCTGACAATACACCACTAGTTCTTAGCATTTAAAAAGTAATTTTCAGCATCCAAACCTGCATACAATACGACTGTTCCACCTCTTGTTGATC